GCGTGTCATGTCTCTTAAACTCTCTCTTAACAAAAAATTTCTCATAATTTCTTTTCATAAACTTATCTTGTTTTTCGTCTCTCTATATATCTTTTTTACAACATTTCTTTTAAAGTTTGTTCGTATATTTTTTCTACAATATAGTGTTTACTTCATTGTTTTTTTTGGTTGTATAGTCTTTGCCTTTCTTTTTCTTCTAAATTTGATTACTTCTCTTTAATGTTTCATTTCTTAAAACATTTGTAATGATTATTTTATGTTTTACTATTTATTATTTTCCTGCTTGTCTCTTACAAAGACCTTTATTCTGTTTCTTGTTTTGGAAAACTTTCTTCCTATTGATCCATAAGTTTTGTTTTATCATCACAACATTTACTTTTCTGCCATTATATCATACAAAAAAAAATATAATGAATAATCTAATTGACGTTTTTGAATTTTGCTGCAGATTACCAATCTTTTAAAAATAAATTATTTAGCACCGGTAAGGAGTTAATTCTTTTGACTACGATTAAACAATTTTGATTCTCGGCAACCAAAAATATACATCTTACTATTTTATTTTTTCATCTGGAAGGGTTCATGTTATGAGGGATAAATTAATTTAAATACTTATTTTTTATAATTTTTTTTAAAACATATCTTATTTAATACTGATATTTAATTATGTTTAAATTTAAAAATTATTCTCTTGCATAACATGAGGTGTTTTCAAGCATAAAAGATAGGGTTTGAAAACGACTACAATGTTGGAGCTCAAAATCGCTTTCTAGGGCTGGGAAGGAAATATTAATTAAATCTGTAATACAATCCATCCCTTCTTATGCAATGTCTTGTTTTATGTTACCAAATAATGTTTTGGAGGAGCTATAATCCATGTCCAGCACCTTTTTCTGGGGAGCCTCATCAGACAGAAGGAAAATTCACTGGTCTTCATGGTCATCCATGTCCCACAGCAAGAAAGATGGAGGGTTGGGTTTTCGTAATCTGAAGGCTTCCAACATGGCAATGTTAAGTAAACAAACTTGGAAGCTTCTCACAGCACCACATTCTCCACTTCCCCGCATTTTGAAAGCTAAGTACTTTCCGTCGCAAAAGTTCTTTGATGCCAATCTTGGATCACGACCTTCATGATCTTGGCGTAGCATTCTTGAAGGAAGGAAAGTACTGGAAATTGGCTGCAAGAAACAGATTCGGAGTGGCAGTCAGACTAACATATGGTATGACAGATGGATCCCTCTTAAGCCCTCTTTTCATACTACTTCAACTCCGCAAATTTTACCAGCTACAGCAACTGTTTCAGACTTAGTGTTTTATGATCATATGGATTGGAATAGAGATCTTATCTCTTCAATTTTTCCTCCTTTGGAAGCTGCAGCAATCCTGTCTATGGCATTACCACATACTCAGTCCACTGATCGATGGATCTGGCATCACACTTAGAAAGGTCACCATACTGTCCGCTCTGCTTATTTTCAGCTGTTGTACTCTCCGCAATTCAGTCATCAAATCAGATCATCATCAGCTATGCCGACTGGAATTCGCGATCCCCTTTGGAAGAAGCTGTGGAACCTGAAGGTCCAGAATCGCCATCTCCTATTTGCATGGCGTTTTTGCATCAATGCTCTCCCAACTCCAGGAAATTTGGCCATCAGACACTTGAACTTTGACATGTCATGTGTATTCTGTCAGCAGAATTCAACGAACACTTGCCACATCTTTTTTGATTGTCCGTTTTCTACATAGGTTTTCAGAATCGCAGGCCTTCATGATCAGATTTTCTTGCGGCAACGAACTCACTGTGATTTATGGTTGTGTACTTTGATACTGGATAATCAATTTGTTTCTGCCTCTTTCCTGATCGCTTTGCTTTCAGGGATTTGGCAAGCTCGGAACTCTAAGTTGTTTGATCAAACAGTAATATCACCATGGGCAGTTGTACTTCAATCCAGTCGAATAGTACGTGACTGCATGGAGCTGAGAGCAAATCAAGATCGAATTGATCAAACTCTGCGAACCATGCCAATATTCCAACCTCCTCCACCAAATGCCATTCGAATTTATTTCGATGGTTCAATTTCTCACACTGGTAAATGCGCTGGAGCTGGAATCGTTATTCAAAGTCCAGAAGGTCAGTTCATGCATGGTTTATCCCGCCAATTTTCGGATGTCATTAATTTTGATTCGGCAGAAGCCCTTGCTTTGCGAGAAGCCTTACTTTTCTGTCGAAGGCTTGGACTTACAAATGTGGCTATTCAAGGTGACTCATCTTTAATCATTTTGGCAACTATAAAGGAGACTGATGGTCCTTCAGCCTGTGCTCCCGTTTTAGAAGACGTAATCTATATTTGTCACGATTTACCAGTTTCTCATCTTTCTTGGATTCCGAGATTGGACAATGTAATAGCTCATTCTCTCGCTAAGTTTGCCAAATCAGTCTCTGTAATTGAAACGGTTTGGAATACTCTCTCAGACTTTGTTTCTCAATTGGTGCTGGACCTTTTCCGGTAATCATTAATGAAAGTTTGTTTTTCTCAAAAAAAAAAAATTTTATTAATGATTAACAACTCATTATCATTGTAATCATAATGCCAAAAGAATTAAGGAAAGAGATGAACTGTCATAATTCAAAATGGGGCTTTTTCGACAATCAAATTAATATATATTCAAGTTTTTGTACACGGTGGAAAATATCAATCGTGTTGGGCACATTGTTAGATTATTATTATTATTATTATTTTTGCTTTATTAATCAACTATTCAATGTGAATGTTATAGTTATTCTGTTTTTTGGTTGATGATTAATCATAATGACAAAAGAATTAAGGAAAGAGATGAACTGTCATAGTTCAAAATGGGGCTTTTTCGACAATCAAATTAATATATATTCAAGTTTTTGTACACGGTGGAAAATATCAATCGTGTTGGGCACATTGTTAGATTATTATTATTATTATTATTTTTGCTTTATTAATCAACTATTCAATGTGAATGTTATAGTTATTCTGTTTTTTGGTTGATGATTAATCACGTGTTTCTATTATTTGTACTACTAATTCCATTTGACGGGTGCACCACTTTATGTTGTCAAATGGATCAACTCTGCTGTGGAGCGACATGTTAAAGTTCTTGATGTTGATTTTATTAATTGGGTTGCCAATGATATTTTTATGGAGCTAGTGGTGCACTTTTCTCCTGTAGAACTCTAGAAGCTCTAAGATTAAGTGCGATTTCACTAAAAAAAAAAAAGAAAATTGAATTAATACGGACTATGCTATTGCTAAACTTCGATACTGTATCTAAGTTGTTAAGTTTTAATCTCAGAGAAAATTTCGAGGAATGTCGAATACTTTTTCCGGTGACTTTGGCCTCTAGCAATGGAAGGGTGGTTGAATATTGTTTAGCTTAATGAATTCTTTCCCGTGCCGCCGGCTTCATTAATTCTGTTTCTCGATGATGAGACATTGACGGTGGCAGCTAGAATTTATTATGGTGATAAATATTTGCACAATTAGTGGCAAAAAAAATCCGATAAAATTAGTTGTTTATATGGATTTAAAAATAAAAAATTATCATTAAATGAAAATAATATTATCTATAAACAGGAAACCTGGATTGAAGAACAGTATTACCGTTGCTTCAACTCATTTTTCTTCATAATCATCCCAGTCCTACAAAACATGGTGTGGGAAATTTGAGTTAAATTTTAATAAGCAAAGGGACAAATAGAATGAACCCAAAAAAAAGGGGGGGTGAAGGCAAATGGCATCCATTACCGGACGGCAAAGGTCAAGGTTCGATCTTGGTGACCTTTAATCAGCGCAGAGAAATTGCTTGTTTTTAATTTTCTTCCCCTTTTCTTCCTTTTTTTTGGGGGAGTGTTATTTTAATTTGCTGCGTTGAATTAAAAAGGAATGAAGGAGCGGAAAGGCAGTTTTAATTAAATTGAGTTCTCTATTTGTTAATTCAAGTAAAATATATGATTTCATATTGTACCGTGTAAAGTAATTCTAGTAAATAATGGAGTAATGTGATTAAGACACGTGAACTTGGCTATTTAATTTTTCGCCTCGTAGATTATACTATCTAATTTTTACATCATAGTGTCCGATTGAAAACTCTCCTTTAACATATATAGAGACTACATATAGAATATTTATTGGCTAACAAAAATGCTAGTTCATTACGTTTTAAGAAAGTTAGAATATATACAAACAAGTTATTGTTAAAATATGTAAAAAAAAATTATATTTACACAAAAGGAAATAATTATTATCTTTACATATTGCCGTAGACTCGTACAACACATAAAACGGAACAATTATTATACATAGTTTCCCTTTTAACCTTCATATCTTAGTCAAAATGAAGAGTAAGGACACATATATCAGAGTACATAATTAGTTTTCCTTCGACTTTATCAGTAAATTCGCTGCAATAAAGCAACAAGCAAAATTCTTTTCTTGAGACTGATGAAGCACTTATTTAGTTAAATTACCATTTTCCAGGTAAACAAGATTAGTTAGAGGTGGTCACCATCTTAGCCAACGAATTGCATCACTTAACTTGTATAAACACTCTACTCAGGATAGAGTATATAATGCACGTTCAATTGTGTGTAAAAGATAAGAAAGAGACATATATACTACTTGTTCACTGTTCCTTTATCGGTTACTTTGAGTTGCAAACCCAAGGAAAATTCTTGCGTCTAAGTTTAAACTGAAGTCTCTATCATTAATTAGTAGTTATTATAATTGATCCCAACTTATAATTAACAAACTCCCTTGCCTTGCCACACTCTATATATTTATGTATCCCTCATTTTCCTGATATAGCAACCACCAATTTAAAATTTTGAATCAATGCCACTTCTTTTTCCGTTTGTGCCACCATGCAATTTATAATGTAAAATATCTTTTTGGATAGAAATAATATGTACATCAGTATTTATATATGGCTTCTTTTTTTATTTCTTCTACCCACCCAAGCTTTCTAAGTTTCCAAAAATAAACATCCCGAATTCAACGGTCCACTTGTGTCATCGTTTACGGCTTTTCTCATTCAAGATGAGTAACCAACAACAACAAACAGCAATATGCAAAAAACAACAACAACAACAACCCAAACATGATGATAAACACCAGAATTTGATAAGATTTTCTTTGAGCTTAACTTTTTCGGCCCTACTCAATCTGATACTCATTGTTTCTTTCTTCTTGAATATGTCCATGAACCCTAAACATGACCAGCTTACTTGGAGCAGGAAAGCTTCTGAAGAAGCTGAAGCTGTTTCATCCCTGTCTTGTTCTGGCCATGGAGTTGCTCATTTGGATGGCTTAGTTTTGGATGGCGGCTTACCGGTTTGCGAATGCGATGCCTGCTACACTGGCCTTGATTGTTCACAGTTTGTTCCATATTGCCTCATAGATGTCGACAAGTACGTACAACTTTACTGCAATCAATTTATATATATACTCTCTCTCCGTCCTGAAATAATAGCCCAGTTTAGATTTTCATTTCTTAGTTCATAATTTTGAATTGTACTAAAAATAAAAAACAAAACTCGGAAATCATTTTGAGACAGTTGAAGTATATCTTCTTTTTTTTTTTCTTTTTTGACGAAAAGGTGGTGTATGTCTTAGCACATGTATGCACAGTAGACTCTCTCCGTCTCATAAAAACTACATTCTTGCTTGTAAACTTCTGAATAAATTACTTTATGCCATTTTCCCCCTAAACTCTTTGCTTTAAAACCTAATTGAAGTTAAGAAAGAGAAAAAGTTATCCGATGGATTGGGGATGATTTAAATAAAAAATTGAACTTTAAAGAACGACATGCAGGAAACAGCATAAGCCAAAAGTTTTTGCAAAGGTAATATGCTTCATCTTTCTTAAGCTGTAATAAAAATGAACTAAACATTCAAACTGATCAGGTACTAATGCTTATTTCTTTTTGGGAAAAAATATATGTATGTCATTCAGTGGGAACCCATTTTTCCTGGAGCCTTTCTGGAGACAAAATGCGGAAAACAGTGCCGTAATGATGGCCGGATGGTATCGAATGGGATACGAATTCGCGGACGGTTCACTCGAATCCAAACAGCTAGAGAAGGCAATTCGAATGTTGCATGATACCGTCGGAAATGCGATCACAAAAGGAAGATATATCGTGTTCGGAACCGGATCAACTCAGCTTTTTAATGCTGCAGTTTACGCCTTTTCTTCTAAAGATTCCGGTTCGACTACTGCCAAGGTTGTTGCATCGGTACCATATTATCCGGTCAGTCTAAATTGATTTTTACCTTTGGTGTATTTATTTATCGATTGACTATTTGTTTAATTGTAGTTAGTTTTTTTTTTTTCTAACTACTGTTAGTAGTGCAGGTTTACAAATCACAGACAGATCTTTTCGTTTCAAGAAAATACAAGTTTGATGGTGAAACAATGTCTTGGATCAACCAATCAGAAGATTCTACGAATTTCATCGAGTTTGTCACTTCACCAAACAACCCAGATGGTCAACTTAAGGATGTTATCCTTGGAGGAAAAAATGTCAAGCATATTCATGATTTAGCTTATTACTGGCCACATTTTTCCCCAATTCCAATTCAATTGGACGAAGATCTCATGCTATTCACACTCTCTAAACTTACGGGTCACTGCGGAACTCGATTGGGGTATGTATCGCTCACCAACATTTTTGTGTTACATTTTTTGTGAACTGTGTTAACGACATTTTTTTTGTTTTTGGTAACGATATATATAAAATGTGTTTTTCAGGTGGGCAATAGTGAAAGAGGAGTCCGTTTATAAAAGAATGATGTACTATATTGATCAGACAACGTATGGAGTTTCTAGAGAAACTCAGTTGAGAACGTTGAAGCTTCTGAACGTGGTGCTACAAGGGAACGGAAGAGAACTGTTCGATTTCGGATATAATGTTATGAGATCCAGATGGGAAAGGTTAAGCAAGCTTTTTTCATTGTCCAAAAGATTTTCTCTCCAAGACCTCACCCAAAACAATTGTACATTTTTTCACAAAGAACTTCGTTCTGTCACTCCTGGTACGTATTTCTTCCCATTCTTATTATAAGTTATTGTTTGAGGTTTCATTAGTCCTATAAAATTTGATTTCTTTAAAGTTTCATTTATATTATAATAAATATCTAAATTTTGTTCTTTCAACTTCACCCTAACTTACATTTACTAAATTTCAATTTGATTGGCTCCTTAAAGGGTGGTGACATTTCTAATATGATGAGTAATATCGACAGTTCACCATGAAAATAACGAACTTAATTATTTTCTTTAATTTTACAAATTATTTATTTGTACTTTATATTTAAGGATGGAGGGAGTTCATTCTTTGATTTTGAATAATGAACTTTTCTTTTTTTTTTTTTAATCCACGTTATAATAATTGACCTTGCTTTCTCTTCATGATGATGGTAGCTTATGCATGGATTAAATGCGAAAACGATGAAGACAAAGACTGTTATTCTGTGCTATGGGATGAAGCAAATATCAAAGGCAAGGCTGGACATGATTTCGGTTCAGAAAGTCGTTATGTTCGTCTTAGTTTAATTAGCAACCGACAAGATTTTGATTTATTGGTGCGCCGTCTTGAAGGCTTAATTTCTCAGGAAATGAAAGGTGTTTGTGAGCCATCCAATTATGAAGGGGCGTTTGGAAACTTGACGACTTAATGTAATTTTTGAAGCATATCGATCGACGGTGACACATAGATGTTGCAAAAATCAAAACTTAATTGATCGAGTTACACGAGAAGATTAATGTTTTGAAAACTCAATTGTCTGCTTACATCTGTTTGATGTCGACGTGGTAATTAACTTAATCTGCCAATTGTAATTGGTAAGTACTGATTTTGAATAATCCGAAACAAGTAATATGTATGTTTGATTATCCATCTTAAATCCTAGACTTTACTTCTCCCATTCCAAAATGATTGTGCACTTTAGATTTTCATTTTTAATACTCCCTCCATCCCAAAATAATTATCCAGTTTGCATTTTCAGTTTTAATACAATTTGAACTAGAAATGAAATTCTAAACTGGACAATAATTTTGGGACGAAGGGAGTATAAATTATACTAAAACTGGACATGAAAGATGATTGATTCATCATTTTGTTTTTTTGGTTTTATTTTTTTTTTTGAGGTTTAAGTTTGAGTTTTAACATTTCTCAAATAAAAATTGAAGTCTTCTCATGGAGTTTTACTTCTTTCTAAATAACCATATATATGAGTTTCTTCTCCAACAAGAAGCTGTGTTCCCGACGTTACCTACAAAAAGGTGGGGTTAATTAATGGATGAGGAGCCCTTGTGGTATTCCAAACTACCCAATCATCCCTCATTCATGGTTTGCAAATGTCTAATGAACTCCTACGTTCTTTCTTCGATGTCAGTAATAGAGCTTCTACCTGTACATGTTACCTCTGTTAAAAGAGTTTCCCGTTATATCCTTGTTATTCCTCTCTGTCTCGAAATAATTGTCTAGTGTTATAAAATTACTACTAACTAGCAATATGAAACTAAGCATAAAAATAAGAAAGTAAAGACAAGAGAGTAGAGAGAGATAAGAGATTTGTATTGAGGAGCATTTCTGAAACATGAATAAGCTTCTCATTTATACAAGAAGGAGAAGACCAAACCATGTGAATTAAATCAGTCTATTATCAATGCTACATATTACAGAATCATATCTTTTTTATTGTGAATAAAATAATACATATTAATTGTGAACATTCAACAAATCAATTCAAATATTTCATAACACTTCCCCTTTGAATGTCCATCTATGTGGAACAATGCATCGGTAAAACTTACTAGCAAAAAACCCTTGGGATAAAACCTTAGTGAAGGATAAAGAGTACATGTCTGAATATGTCACTACCTTGTTAAAAACCTTGCCAAAAAAAAAACCATTGGGATAAAAATTTGGTAAGGGGAAAAAGAATACAATGCGTATTACTCTCCCTGCTGGATACGTCACTTGATATCTTTCAACTGTTGCATTTCAATGTTGTGTCCTAATTTCTCAAGAACAGATTTGGGTAATGACTTTATGAATAAATCTGCCAAATTGTTACATGAACAAATTTGTTGAACATTGATTTTACCTTTGTTATGGAGACCATGAGTAACAAAAAATTTGGTGAAATATGTTTCGTTCTATCACCTTCGATATATCCTTCCTTCAAATGATCAATGCATGCAGTGTTATCTTTAAACAAAGTAATAGGAAAGCTCTTATCCAATTTTAGGTCACACGATCCTCGAATGTAGTGAACAATATATCTTTGCCGAACACAGTCTCAACTTGTTTCATGAATTATCAAAAGTTTCAGCATGGTTAGTAGAAGTTGCAGCTAGAGTCTGCTTCATATACTGCCAAAAAATAGCTTTTCCTCTACATGTAAACTTATATCCAGTTTGGGATCGACCATTATTAGGATCGGATAAATACCCATGATCTACATGACCTCCACGATCAGAATTTAATGTTCTAGAGTAATAAAGACCCAAATCCAACGTACCCTGACTGTAGCAGAATATATGCTTAACACAATTCCAATGCCTTTGAATTGGTGAAAAACTATATCTAGCTAATTAATTCACTGCGAAAAATATATCAGGCTGTGTATGACTAGCAAAAAGTATTAATGCCCCAATAGTATTAAGATATGGTACTTCTGGACCAAGTAGTCATCTTTTCCACAAGGCCTAACAGGGTCTTTATCTTTATCAAGTATTCTCACCACCATTGGTGTGCTCAAAGGATATGTTTTGTCCATATAGAAACGTGGAAACACTTTAGCAGTATAAGTTGATTGATGCAACATGATGTCATTGTCCAAATGTTCAATTCATAGACCAAGACAAAATTTTATTCTTCCAAGATCTTTCATCTCATATTCTTGCTTCAGGCAAGAAGCAAACTTTTGAACTTCCTTTGAATTTTTTATAACTATAATGAAGTTTTCAAGAGTTTTAATGATATTCAGGCTATTCGAACTCTATAAGAAATTTCAATAACTTTTAGCCTTTTCAAACTCTACAGGCGTTCAGTGCTAACCAATATGAAAATTCAGACTAATATTAGTATAATCCAATCATTCAAATATGAATGTAAAAACATATAGAAAAGCATAAAGAATCATGCTACAAATAAACATAACATATCTAGATAAAACAAACATATAGATGAGCTCATAAAAGAAAAAAAATAACAAAACATTAAAAAAAATATGCAACTTTATCTAGATACATGAGACACTAGAATTTGCCTAAGTCTTTTAAATTAATTTCTCGAGGACTGGGAATCATTTTCCTTTTCGAATCATTCGTGGAGTTCATCAAGACGTCATTATTAAATGAGAAGTTTCACGTATCAAGTGATCACTATATTCAAGAGTCACATTTTTATTTCTTCATTTCCTGCAAGATTTAGCCAATATTTTTTTTCTTCTTTTCATCCACCACGAGAGAATATATCTCTTCAGGATTAATATCCAAACTTTGAAAAAATGGTGGGTGCCGAGTTCACCAAAAATAATACTAGCTGGATTATGGATTTGTAGATAATGGAAGCTAGGTCGTTCCCACAGGGACAGCTAAATTACCAAATTTGTTGTTAAAAGACTACCAGTTCAAGCAAGGGTCACTCAGGGGAATGGAAACGTTCACTCAGGGGAGTACGGTCCAGGGGTGTACTTCTCCTCTTCTTGTTGCAGCAGTTGTAATTTGCACTTAAATGTTTAAGTTCTTGTTCATTCAGCTCAGAATTAACTCTAAGTTAGTTCTCATTTTTCCTAGAGTCATCTTTGTAACTTTAACAATCTATTTTCCAACTTTTGAATCCAGTTATAAAGTCATTAAGAGCTACGGCTTATACGAATGCTCATGTTAACTAAGTATATTCCTATCTTAGTTAAAACCATAGATTGTTACCTCTATGTCACAAGTTGAAGTTGAAACAGTCCGAACCAAGTTATCTTTCCAAATTTCCCCTAGTTCTAGCATGCATTCAATTAGAGATCAAGTAACTGAATGTAGAAATACTTTCAACTTCAAAACAAAGAACAAAACCAGTGCATTACAAAAACTACAACATAGGTTGAGGAGATTAAGCCTTGGAAGCTGTTTAGCTACTCATACTGGTTGATGCTACAACTACTACTTCAACAGACATCATAGAAGTATGCATCAAAGAAATGAAATACAAGCTAATAGTTTCAGAGAAGAAGACAGCTTATGCAGTTTAGAGGTCACTCATGGGAGTGACAGGATTCACTCAGGGGACTGAAGTAGTGACTGAGATGGTTGTTCTTCAACTTGGCTTCCTTATTGAGTTGTTGCTGTTCTTCCTTCCTTCTTGCCTTCTTTCTGTAGTTTTTCTGTGTGTTCTTGGGAACTGAAAGGTGTAGCCAGAGATGATTGTTCTGTGTATGCATCTCCCCTTTTATACTGCTGGATGCCGGTTCTTCTTCCAAGAGCACGTCCCCATGCCTATGTATTCTTTATTCACCCCAATGTCTTGTATCTTGGACTGGACTTTTGCTCTCCTTCCAGAAGTGGTATCAATTGTGGCATTGATCAGCTTGGGAGGCTGGTTTGTCGGCCAAGGGTACAAGCATGCCCTTGGGTTTTTAAGGAGAGACAACTTCATTAATTGTGTGTAGGAGATGTCCTTGGCTAACTCAGCAGAACTTGAATTCATCAGCTCTGTTTTTGTCTCAGCAGCCCTCCTTTTTCAGCATTTCTTCACTCAGGTCCCTTCCTATGCAAAAACATGAAAACTAGTTAAGTAATATGGACTTATTCAAAGAATCGCCCCTCCTTTTTCATTAAATTCAGAGTAAATGGTAATGTTTTTGTGTAACAAATTAACTACTATCAACTCCCCCAAACTGGAAGAATTGCTTGTCCTCAAGCAATACCACTAGACTCTTACTGACACTTTGAGGATTATATTTGAGAAATAGGGGAAACAATACTGCCATACAGACTTAACCCTGACTTCCTTTCCTAAGTGAAGATGCTCACTCGGGCAAGTGACACTGGATATGGAACACAACACAACACCAATCTACCAGGGGCTGTCAACCTTTAGTCTCAGATATAAGTAAAGAAAACACACACTAGGGATACCAAAGTCTTCTGCAATCCACAATCAAACAACTAACCTTCACATGAATTCAGAATATCTTCCACAAGTGTTAGTTCATGCCAACCTATCAATCCATTCTAGTTTAACCAGTTTCAGCATGTGGTGGTCATTCTTGTGATCTGGTTTTGCCCAAGTTACTTCGATTTGATTTACCTACTGATGCTTCAATCATGGACTTCCTTCACAGCCTTTCTGTCTGTCTGTTTTTTTTTTCATGTAGATGGACCAACCTACACCTTTGGGAGGGGTGTTATTCGACCTTATCTCTCCACTGCCTTATACCTCAACCCTTATCACTCCAACAGTTTGGAACTTTTTGTGGTGGTTCCTTGCTGTTACCCCTAAGGTTTCAGTTGATCCAATCTTTTATTTTTTTTCTCTTCTTCTCTCTTTTTTTTTTTAACAAACAGGTTGTGAATGGATACCACAAGGGAAGTCTCAGGTTTACAACAATTTCTCATCTACTTGTAGCTTAGAACTAGACACAGATCACAACAGTGAATTAGTCATGCCAAATTTTAGAATTTATGTTCTAGGCAGTCACTTCCACGAGTGGCATTGTTCATGTGTGTGAGTGAGTGTCAGCCATTCTTTCACTTCATGCATCAGACTCAGCATCAAAAGTGTTTTAGCAAAATTTTTTTTTTCAAAACCATTATCCTCCTAGACTGTTGACAGCTCCTTTTTAGAAAATTTTCATTTTATT